CCACGCTCAAAGAATTACTTCATGAAATTTATCACGAGTAATTCTTAGAGGATAATATCTTATAATCTTTAAACAGAGATATATGAGTCATGGTTTACAAATCAGTTGTGCGTTGATGATATGTAAAATGCAACAGTAACTTCATGTTATTAAACGTATTTATGTGTATGATTTGGTGAGTAAATACTACAAGCATATAAGTCAAAGTTTATTTTTTTTCCTTTTTGCCTTAATGGGAAAAAAGCGATATCTTTTGGCCCCTTGATGATTTGGTGTTGACTTATAGTGTCGGGCCCGGCTAGGACTTAATCGATGTCTTTGATTTGAAGTTCTTTGTCATTACAAATCAAAAATCGATAAATAAAGTATTAGTAAATGAGATTGATTAATTTCTATGTCATTTTTCCACATGATATCTTGTAGAATGGAGGATTATATGATGACTTATCTTAGGACACATTACTGACTGAGTCAGAGTCCGACATCAGCTTTTTAGAGCTACAATTTGTTGATCAGTTTAGAAGTTATAATGGCAAATATAGTTATTAGACATATCCAAGTGGAGAGTACTGGATTAGGTGTCTAAGCCTATAACTATAATTGGTATATACTTTTGCCCTCAAAACTAGCAACTTGACATGATGATTTTTGGATAGACATGTTGAATTTATTATTTGATTTAATAAATTGGTATAAATAATTTTTTCATATATTATGAGAATAATATATTACTTAGAAATAACAATATTTAGTTAATATTTAATCAGAAATTAATTAGAATTAATTTTGGGATTAGAAGAATTAATTAAAAGTGCATGGTCTAAGGTGTAATTGTTTAATAGTTGAGCAAGATGTTCCAGAACCTTCCTTGCGAAGGGGGTAGACAGTTTTATTAGATTATTCTAGGGTTTCTAGAATATCTCATGTGAATTATTAAGGAGGTGGATAATTGCCTAATTTGAAATATTAATATTATATTCAGATTAGGGTTATTCATGGCATCCTTGTTGCACTATAAATAAGCCTTTACCCCTTAGGATTTTCGGCCACCTGACACCCTAGAGAGATTGCCGAAAATCATCAGCTCCCCTCTCCTCTCTCCTCTCTCATCCTCTTGCTAGTGTTGGGTGTGATCTACTAGAGGCACGATATTTGTAGTGATTGCTCTCTCTAAGCTTCAACAACACAAGGGTTCTTGTTATTCATCAATAACAATCAAAGGTATGTGTTCTAATCCTAGTTACTATTTTCGAAATTAGTATAGGGTTCCTAGGGTTTGTCTATTTGATTTTCAAAATTTATATGTTCAATTAGAGAAAACATAGATCAAGAATTAGGGTTGCATGTACACATATTTTTTATTTGTTATGCTCAAAACTCATCAATATTCATATATTAATAAACACTTGAGAATAGAAACATACTTACATATATTTATATATGAATATACTTTTTCATTATGAATATATTTATTCATATATGAATGTTCGTCAGCGTCACAACACCTCCCCCATCGCCAATGCCACCACCAACGCCACTCCACTACCGTCTTCGCCACCAACCGTTATATTCAAATATGAATAATCACGTGTGAATAGACACAAAATTATTAATATATGAATATACTTTTATACATTCATATATCAATATTATATGTTCCGTCATCCATGTATGTTGGACTGTTTAAGTGACAGATTTGAAATATGAGGCACATATTTGTTCTCGGGTTCTCAAGTTCATATATATCATGGTTATAAAAATCACTAGAAGGGAGTCATACGGTAGACTAGGGTTAAGCGCCTAACCGATCTAGGCGGGAACCCTTAATTGTATTAGATTTTTTTAATTAAATATTACTTATATCCTATCAAATTTAATAACTATGACAAAATTTTATGATCATTTACCTATTTTGATAAAATATATACAATTTATTCAAATATTATTATATTTTAAGAAATAAATCTTTGAAATTTAAAACATTAAAATTTGAAATCAAAAATTTTTCAAAATTAGGAGTATTGTTTGAAATTTAAAGCATTTGACATTTAAAATTTAAAAATTTGAAATTTTTTGATGTAATTCTTTAAAATTTAAAAATTAAAAATTTTTAAAAAACGATAATTCTGACGGCCTAGTGCCTAATGGCCCTATGGGTGTCTCTCTCTCTCTCTCTCTCTCTCTCTCTCTCTCTCTCTATATATATATATATATATATATATATATATATATATATATATATATATATATAAGGTTCATTTGATACGATACTAATTTTGTGAGACCGTGAGACGTTATCTAAAAATAATTTTAAAATAAAAAATAAAAACAAAAATCCAAAAATTATTTTGTAATTATTATTTTCGTCACTTTATTTACCTAAAAATATAAAAATAAAATAAAATAAAGAAATAACGTTTTTTTTAAATACATCAAATATTCTAATAAAATATTACACTATAAATATTCTAATGTGATTTTTAAAATGTTAAAATATTATACTAGATTTGTCAGATATATATAAAATATTCTAATATTTTAGTGGAATATTATAATATTCTACAAGAATAGGTTAAAAAAACGGTAAATTTTTTTATTTATTTTTATTATTTTTTTAATTTTAAATTTTTTGTTTTTGGCAAATATAAATGACGAAAATAATATTTAAAAAAATTCAAAAATTTTCAATTATTTTGCATTTTAAAAATGTTTTCTTGTTTACAAAATGAATATATATATATATATATATATATATATATATATATATATATATATATATATATATATATATATATATATATATTATTTGAATAGATTTTTGTAATATTATATTCCTTCGCGTATAATACAATTTGATTTTATATCGGATTTGAATTTATTTATATATGATTTGGATTCATTTGATCACATTAGAATAGATATACCTATTCAAACGAGCATCCATAATATATATATATATATATATATATATATATATATATATATATATATATATATATATATATATATATATATATATATATATATGTATATATATATATATATATATATATATATATATATATATATATATATACTAGTCGTCTACCCGCGCGAAGCGGCAGGTAGCGAATAATTTGATCTATTTAGAGTTAAAACCATTTTGCGTTCACTTCGACAAATGAATATTAAATGACATCTATTTTTCAAGAGCATTACCAAACCATATTAAAGGGGTGTTTGGCTAAGCTTTTTTTAAAACAACTTATTAAGTTCCACATCACTTTAAGTTAAAAAAGTGTTTGGATTAAAATAACTTATTCCGGTGGGGAACCTCTAATACGTCAATTTTTCGTAAGTCACCCTACACTTACTTATTAACTTATAAGCTAATAAACTAATAGGCAATAAGTTTTTTTTGCCAAACACCCCCTAAATGGTTATTACTTCCATTTATACATACCCAAACCACTTGTACTATTTATCGTTCTCTTTTTTTTCGTTTTACTTAATTCATTTATTAATTTAATGTCCTACTAAGTAAAATGCTAAAATATATAAATAATAGTTTATAAAAATAAACCTTTAGAATATCAGGTGTTGTGATTCAAAAGTCGATAAATAGGCCTTTGAGAAGGACAAAATACTCAGGTGTCAACTTGTTCATATGATTTTAAACCAAGTTTGGTCACAAATTAAAACATTTTCAACGATGGTATGTAATTCAAGGATTCATATTGATTTAGGTTCTCGAAATCTTAAAATATTGAACAAAATCTATATAGAAACTTATAATAACGACAATAATCACCGTAATCAGGAAGTCCATGTGATGGAACTTGATATTATAAGGACCAATGATGAAAAAGGTTTCATTTTTAGACTAAACAAGATGAAAAATATACAAACTACCTTAATCATGTCAAATCTTGTGTTTAACCGTTCTTTATTGCAAAAGTAAGATGTCAAAATATACAAACTAATGATAATACAATGCTCTAACTGGCCCTCTTGGTTGAGTTCTTTGAACCAGCAAAGCCAACACATTAAAAAAACATAGTAAAAACCTTTTTAGGAACAAACCTGATATAATAAAGCTTTCACCCAATATATTTATAAGATAAAAATACAAAAAGTTAAAAATGATGAAATCAATTACAAGTAAGGATTAAAATAAAAACCTGTTAAGAAAGAGTCATCTGCAGGAGGGATATTTGAATCAACATGTATTTTCTGATGGTTTCAAATTTTGAATTATCCAATATTCAGGAAAGGAGATAGAATTTGTTGAGAAATATAAGGATTCAAAACACAGGTTAAAATTTAATATTATTTTATTGATAACTACTTGTACTATTAACTTAATGATTTGAACGTCTTAAAAAATAATATTATTATATATTCAATCTATTTTTAGAAATAATGGGATTTCTTTTATAAGATAGTAAATATATATATATATATATATATATATATATTAAAATTCTCTTGCCTTAGCTACAGTTAACTTGTTAAGCTTTTGACAATTTTGATCCTTTGTTTATTTCTCTATTGTTACTTGTGGCTGACCTTATTCTAATTTCCTGTTCTTCTCTTTCTTTCGTTTCTTCTAAAATGTCGTGTATTCCCCTTCTATTTTTCTTTATTTGTCTTGCATTTATTTTAATATGATTCTTCTTTTGTTCGTACATTCCTGACTTGCTTTTAAATTTTCTACGTGTCTTCTTCCCTGTCGTTTGTTGTCCACATGCTCTTTTCTTCTTTCTCCCTGTTTCTTTTGGGTCAACTTCCACCGCTGTTTCTTTTTGTTCTTGCTTCTTCTTTTGGATAGGTAACTTCTCTCTCTTCTTCTTCTATTTCCCCTTTCTGTTTTTGTGTTCCTCTTTAACAATTATTGTCTCTGTTCGGTTAATTTGTTTTACAGAAGATGAAGATGTGAATGCGACGGGGTTCGATCATTTGGAAGAAAAGGTTTCCGACGGGGCCGAACAAAAGGAAAAGAGAAAAGGCAATTAGTCTCAATGGTGATTGACGAACAGGGGTATGGCATTCCATACTTAGCGGCGGCAGTAGGCGGCTCCACCACTTCTTCCTCTTCTATTTCATTCCAATGCAGCGAGGTGGGAGGCAAGGAACTGTCACTGGTGCTGAAATGAAAAGGAAGGTTGGGATAAACAAGTAGTAAAAGGGGGTAAGTAAAGTAACAGGTGCTTCCAATTTCTTCGATTCTTAACCAAGTTGTCATTTTTTGGTTTCTTTTTTATTGGGTTTCATGCTTAATTAATTACATATCTGATGATAACACTAATTTCATCGTCTACAACCACCTTTAACAACTTTTTATGACTTTCATATCTCTTGTTTTCTTTTGTGTTTGGCTGTAGGAAGCTCCTGCTATTGTTAAATCTTACTATGGCCAAAGAATTGTTGTTTGCCCTGTTGTAGAAGGGGGTGAGTCTTATTTTTCTGTATTTTTAGAGACTTGAGTGTATAAACTTTATATAAATGCTTATACTTATCTATTCTTTTCAGATTCCATCTTTTGGGTATGGTGGATGATGTTAAGGGTTATACACAACCTAATACTTCATCTTCACTTTGTTTCATAAAGTCAAAATATAGATGACTGAGGGTTTATCCGTTTCATTTGCTACTTTGGAGATACACATTAGAATGGAGTATATGTATCAAATTAAGTATCACAATCAAATGATTTGACTTGCACATTAGATTTTTGACAGAATGTTTGAATGAAACTGATCAGATTCTCTTGAAAGCAACTTTTGATTATGGATTTTATTTACATTTACAGATTGATCTGCAAGTGGTCCCTCATTTTGAATTTTCAGTCAAAAATCCACATGATGTTTGGGTGGAAAAAACATGGATTATGTGAGATAGGTTATTGAGTGTAGATATTTCACATGGCTTGAAATAAAGGATGGAGTAATTTCCATTCAAACGTGGTTCAACAAATCATAAGTTTATTCATCTTTTGAATATTTAGAGCTTTTATGTTAATTCCAGGTGATGCTCATTACAGTTGTTGCTGCAATATTAGTGCTTAAAATTTGTACAGGTGGTGATTGGTCCTCAACACTTAAAGGTAACCATTTGATTCAACATGTGGATATTGTAAACGAAAATCAAAAGTATAACAAGTTAGCAAATAATTTATATATATATATATTTTTATTCTCAACTTTTTGGATGTTTTTTGATAGAGTTGGGAGAGTAGTGGAATTGACCCCAAGTGGTGTTTGTATTGCTAATGAAGTTCAAGCTAGATTTAGACAGAAGGGCAAAATAGTTAACTTTTTCTTTTTAGTAGTTCAGATTTATTATTATTATTATTATTATTATTATTATTATTGTGTGACATGGAATAAAAAGAAGTCTTTTTATCACATGCATGTGATAATATCAAAGTATTCAATTTTAGTATGGTGAAAAATGTAAGGCAATGTATGTTTGATGAGTCATGTTTTTTACTCGATTTACTAATGATAATCAGTTTTTTTTTTTTTTGGATATAGAAATGAACGAGGAAGACGAGTTCAATGACTGCAATTTTAGGAAGGAGTACACACCACAACAATTCAATGATGAATCCATTATTTCTCACTTACAATCACACGGTACAAACAAAACTTTGTTCAAAGGTTCCTTAGTTTTTGCTAAAATTCACATATTTCATATGTTTATTTGCAATTTGAACCGGATACAACTTTTTCAAAATCAAATTTACTGTAATAAAAAAACAATCTTCTTATGTATATTCCTTATCTACAAGGACGATGTTCTTATGTACGGGACACGGTTTGATCTTTGCAATACATATCTTATTGATAAGTTAGCACCCATGGCAAGACATGAGAATGTAGTATTTTTATCTTTGACGAAATGGAATTTAAGATTACATTCCAATGTTTGATGGATTTCACGTTTATGCTTACATGATAATGATGAAGATGATATTTTTGGTTGTTGCACATTAAAAGTAGAAAACGTTGAGCCACAACTTCCAAATATCATTAGAGTAAACTATTATGCATAAAAATATTCTAAAAAAATATATCCATATTTTTTTATTCAGAAAATTAATAAAAACACATAATTTGCACTTTATGTATTTTACTTTTTTAAATCAAGTTTGTTACATGCAGTGGTTTCAGGTTTAATCCTAGTAGCATAACCTTATTCAGGGTTGACCTGCCTATCGAGGTTTGTTTTATTTTTATTTATTTATTCAAAATGCCGTCGGTTTAATTTCATTGTTAAAAAATAAAAATAAATGAAATGAAATGAAACACATGTTTCTTATGGAGATGTGGACGAGAACACAGAAGAACATACGTTGTCAAATATGAAAGAGGTTGTGGAGTCATCTGTTTAACAGAAGGCGAAGGCCACACATATATACCCAGGTTGGATGATACTTTTTTAAATGGATTCATGTTTCAACCACAATGCTTTCATAGGAAATAAAAATAAAGAAATTAGGTTTTGGGTGTTGGATTTTTTTAATACATATCGTTAATATATTAGATATAAATAGATAAGACATTTCTTTCTACAAATTTTTTGATAGAATATTGTAGGCTGGTAGCTAAACTTTAATTTTTATATGATTTTCTTTTGTCACAGATGAGTGAGTACATACTCTTATTGGGATCAAAATATTGGTGCTTTGGTTAATGAATCCACAAATGATGAGGGTGTTTTGGTAATTCGTCCAAGTGCTGACACGGAATACTTAGATTTGGGTATTTGTAAATACACTATAATAGGGGAAATGACTTATTAGGGTAATTAACTATTGCCCTTGTATTCTATTGGTCACTTTTCTTTTCTTTTTTTTTTTTGTATCTTATTTACCATTGAACTTGTTGTTGGTGTTCACAGAAACCATTGAAACCGGCTATTGAAGGTTTCTGACAATTTCTTATCTCCAGCGATTCTCCGGTCGTCTTCTTCGGCGAACCTCCGGCAAAAACGAGTTTTTCCGGCGGACTTTTCTCGACTTCCATCCAAGCGGCATCCACCGTTGGTGTTGCTGCTTAGCTTTTCCACCCTTCCCTCTCTCCCTCCTGTCGATTTGCTGCCAGAAAAAGGAAGAAGGGATGCAGGCAGCAAGCCACATGCCACCTCCTCCTGCCATCACTGGAACCCACCTGCCACCTCCCTTTTGTTGCCGGTAAACCACCATTACCACCTCTTGCTGCTTGCTGCTGCTATAAGTCATCAAACCGAGACCCAAGGATCCGTCGAAAATCTCATTTTTGCCGGAGACTCGCTAGAGATGACGACCAGAGAGTCGTCGGAGATAAGAAATTGTCGGAAACCTTCAATAGCCGGTTTTAATGGTTTCTGTGAACACATACAACAAGTTCAATGATAAATGAGATAAAAAAAAATGAAAGTGACCAATTAAGTACAAGGGCAACAGTTAATTACTCTAATAAATCATTTCCCCCACTATAATATTATTCTTTTTTGCTTCTTATTCCGGCTTTCACATATATTGATTGTTTGGTTACATGGTTCTTTGTCATGCAACATAAGGATTGTGTTATACAAATATGGAGTATGTATTTTCTTTTTTACTCATAATAATGAAAATACCCTCATCTAAATACAATGAAAATCCTTTCAATTCAACTGTTTTTATCATATATATATATATATATATATATATATATATATATATATATATATATATATATATATATATATATATGTTACAAAATAAAATATCCTTTAAAACACAAATATTACTTCCTACTACATATCAATATATAACACGGAACTCGGATCCAGGAACCCGGATCCAATCCATCTTTCTTTTATGTACATTATTCACATGTCTTTTATATTTAAAATTCTAGATAAGAATAGATTTAGTCATCCACATTTGTTATAACTGATCCATTGTATTCGGATCTCTCCTTGTATATGTACCGATTCAATTCATTGAGAAATATAAGTTTAATTCACACATTACTAAGAAATACAATCACCAACGACACACTACGTATTGACTATACGACATACATAACCGAAAACCAAAAGACTAAAAGCATGGTCGTAACCGAACCCCACGGAACGGTGTACCTCATTCTAGTTATTGTTAAAATACAATTTCAATGTATATTTTGTTTAGACTTTAATTTTACCTTTTTTAATAAGTTATGACAACAATTTATGATTTAAATATTTATATTGTATAACTTTATAAACCTAAATTGTTTTGTATCACTTCTTATTATTTATAGATAAAGTTATAAAACATGACTGCAATCAATATATATTAATTATATATCGAATTGCCATCTAATGATAAAATGGCATGTATATCTTTCGTTATCGTCCCTACTACCACGTAACCCTTGATGTAGATAGAGTCTAGATGTCACGTCTTATTCACCTCATATATATTTTATTGTCAAAGATTTATAATTGATATGATATTCTGAACATACACATATAGTCGGCCATGGGCTTATGGGTTGGGCCCATTTGGATCCGTAAGTCACTCGAAACAAAATTATGTTCCGTATGACCATAACAAAACTCTAGAATCTGGACCCATAAGCTATGACCCCCAAAATGGGTCAGCTTAAGTGTAGTTTATTATGTGGGCCCAATTGGTGATGCATGGATGCTAACTCGTGAACGTGTGTACGCATGTGTCCATGAATACATAGATATATAATATGTGGATGCATGGATTGACAACTGTTAATGAACAATTGGCCAATGCCCAATAGTTTACATGTAATTATCATCTTCGTTAATACGTCAAAAGCTTTAATTTCTAATAAAATGGAAACTACGAATAACATATGCAAGATAACTACATAATCTTCTTATTGCAACTATTTAAGTTTGATTTATTGAATAATTATGCAAAATCTCGCGTTTTGTGCGAGTTAAAATTATTAAGTTATAATTTGATAAATATATGTTATTGAAATTATTAGTCATTGATATTGAATATAATAATAATTTATATATGAAGTTGATATATAATATCTGACTTTAATATTTTGTAAAGTTTTTAAGGATAAAAAATGATTAATGGATTATATAACTATTTAATTTTTAAGCGAGATCTTTATTTATAGAAAATAAAAAAGCTTATTAAGTTTGTTTACCATGACCATGTGAAATCAAATTCTTCTTTATCACGTATCATTTTGTTTTTTGTTTTGTTATTCCACGTTGCTTACGAAAAAAATTTGAAGTGAAAACAAAGTAAAATGCTAACATATTGTTTATCCCATATTGTTTAAGAAACAAAATTTATGGGAAACAATAAGTAACCAAACTAAAACATTTTTTTCTTATAATTTTATTCCTCTATGTTCTTATTTTTAACAGGTTTAAAAATCAACCGCAATATTTTAGGAACCATTTTGTTTGATAATATAATAATTAAATTGCATTAAAATCAAGTAATATTAATTTTCAAACTCTTTTGGTGAAAATGGATACCATTTACTCAAAATCAACCCACTGTTTAAACTCAAATAATAGAATGTTTAATTATATATTTTTTTCCTTAAACTTTAATACCGAGAAAGTTTCTAAAAGATAAAAATGATTAATAATTATTTAATTATATTAAATTTAAAGGGAGATCTTTATTTATAAAATAAAAGAGTTTATTAAGTTTATTGACTGTATGTCGATGTGGGATCAAATTCACCTTTATCATGTATCTTTTTTTGTCATTTATTTTTAACCTATATCGTTTAATAAAAAAAGATGAAGTGAAAGCAATCAATTATAACTAAAGAGGCTAACATAATTTTTATATCACATTGCTTAAGAAATAAAACTCATGCGAAAGGCACATCTATAGATAAGGATGCTAAAATATTTTCTCTTGCAATGTTTTTTTTTTTTTTTTTTTTGGAAAGGGAACTTCCTTAACGAGGGTTTCCGGGTCAGCTTTTGCGCACCGACTAATCCCCCGCTGCAAACATAAAGCTTTGCTTCATGCCCTGGAGCCACTGCAGGCGAACCTCCATGGCCACAAGGGTTGAGTGTTGCAATGTTTGTTCCCTTATGTTTTGATTTTGGTTGGTTTTGGCATCAAACGCAAAATTCAAGGTACCATGCGGTTGATCTTTTTTTTTTTTTTTCTTTTTTTTTTTTTAATTTGTAGAATTATCATATTTTCTATCTTTTATAATTTCTCATATGGATAAAATATAAAACAATGATATTAAAATCACACTATTTAATAAAAATCTTATTATCATAAACTTTCGATTTAGTTTTTTAACCTACATGGGAAGCCTTAAGATAAAAAAATATTTTACCCTCCTCATGTCAAATTTTTTTAACGGGTTTTAGTGTATATATAATCTTAAGACTTGGTGTTTATATAAATGTTAAAAACTTTTTTAACATTTTTATAAATACAATGTTCAACTTAATTTCCTTAAACCATGTTCAAACATTCAGCATCAAAAAGAAATTATATATATATATATATATATATATATATATATATATATATATATATATATATATATATATATATATATATATATATATATTGTGATTATTCGAAAAAAATATTTACATGTATTAGTGCAAATGGGACTATGGAAAAAAACATACAATGAACAAGCAAATTTGATCATTTTTAAGTGTTTAACTTTTTTTTTAAATAGCAAATTACTTAAAATAGTCGGTTTGGTTAAAATTTCATACTTGGTCCCTAATATTCTTTTTGCATTCAGATCGTCCATATGATATGAATTTATTGCGTTTTGAGTCTCTGATAGACATGAAAAGACCATATTACCTTTAACTTTTTTATGATATTTCTAATTTTTATTTATTTATTTATTACATTTACCAAGTCAAATATGATCCCACCTCTTTCCCTTGGACCTTCTTCCCCTACCTCTATTTTCAGTGTTCTTGTTTATGCAACTCTACTTTCCCCTGTTGGAAAAAGATAAAATTACAAAAATGGTCCCTATGGTTGTCAAAATTTTGTGCTTTTGATCAAAAACGAAATATTGGTGCACCATTGGTCCAAAATTGGATCTTTTTAGTGATTTTGGTCCCTATCACTTAAAAAGACAATTATACCCTTTATATTTGTTTTTATTATTTTTATATAAATTGTAATGATTTTAAGTAATTAAAAATTAGAGAATGACCCCTCTCTCTCTCTCTCTCTCTCTCTCTCTCTCTCTCTCTCTCTCTCTCTCTCTCTCTCTCTCTCTCTCTCTCTCTCGTCTTTGACTTGTGAAAGTCAAATGAACTTATGAAGAAACATGCTAAAGCACTTTCATTCTTTGATCAAATTGAAGCCATATACAAGTTAATGAAAGAAAATTAATTAGTTCTTTTTCTCCTCGTAACCTTTCGCCACCTCCATCTTCTTGAAATAGTGTTAAATATAGGGCATAACCCTCTAAAACCTCATGAATCTACAACCCAAATTCATCAGTTCTGAAACACCACCATTTCACCACCCCTTTACCCCATCATAAGACCACCTTGCACCACCCTCTATTGACCAAAATCACCACCAAATACTACAATGATGAAATCTCGTAGTATGTTTCCTGCTAGGTCTCCTTATAATAGTTTGGTGTAACCTAGTCGTATATAATTAAGATTGAAAAGACAGTCGACTGAGTGACCCTGCCCTAAATCCACAACCAGACAAGGAACAGGAATTAAGGCGGAATCACGCACTCTAAATATGTAGAATCTCAATTATATATGACCATGCGTTTACACTAAGCCATCATAGCTCAACTGAAAAGATCTTTAGTTTTTCTATGAATAATATGTTGTTAGGTTGAGGGAGCAATTTATGATTATGTTTTTAATTGGAAAAAAAATTTGAGAAAATTCGATGCTTAATTTTTGTTGTTTGGCAACGTACCGAAAATCCCAGTAGGGTTCCTTGTTGCTTCATCATGTCTTGTTGTTAAAACTCCTTCCGCTGCTCCGTCATTCCTCTTTGTTGGACAATGTCTCTTGAAATGTCCCGTTTCACCACATGTGTGGCATATTAGACTTACTCCAGCATCAGGGGTTGTAGTGATGTACTGGGTCGGGGTCTTACAGTGGCGGGCGGTGTGCCCCTTCTTGTTGCACCTATTGCAATGCAATTCCCGGCAAACTCCATTATGATGGAAGCTGCACTTGTTGCATTTTGGGAGGTTTCCAGCATATGGTTTTCTCGGTGTTGGGTTAGTGAGGTCAGTGGGTGTATGGGCTACTACAGCTCGTTGCCTTTTGATAGGTCCTTGAGTCGAACTACCCCCTTTCCCGTCCAGGACTTTCGTTTCATGTTCTTGGGTTTGTGGTTTGGGGTGTCCTTGTAGGCGGCCCTTTGTTGATGCCCTTGGTTATTATTACGATTGGAATTGTTGACACCGATTCCATTTTTTTGTGTTGTTAGCGTTGAGTTGTGCAATGACGGCTGTCACAGCAGCTGTCAATGTTGATTGAAAAGTAGTAGAGTCTATCTGCAGGATTAGTGTCTTGCCAATTAGCCGCTTGTTTCCATCTAAATGCATGATTCTGTTGCATGGCGAGAAACGAGCTCGTAAGTAACTTTGGCCGTTTCTAGTTGTATCTAATATATATATATATATATATATATATATATATATATATATATATATATATATATATATTTATTTATACATATATATATACATTTATGTATGCATGTATATAAGTCACATGGTTTGTCGTATGATTCCCTAAATTTTCTATCACATTAATGTACTTATGGTGATAAGTAGTAGTAGGTATTGTACGAACGTTAGGTTTATCAAATAGAATATAATTATCAATACAATTAGTTGATTCGGATTACATGGGTTCTTGGAGGGCACACCTCTCTTGATTTACTACTACTAGTTGTGATGAAAGACATAATAAACCTAAGACATGGTGTGAGCAATGTAGTGACTATCTCACTTGGCTATACTAGTCTTATCATATGCCGAAATGGCACACAAGGTGCCCAACCATTTCATGAGTGGCCTCTTCCGCTCTCTGTTCTGCTAAGGCTGCCCTAGCATCGGCTGCAATGATCTGTTGTCTCAGGATGACCACTTCCTCCTCTAAGGAATGTATATGGTTTGTAAGGTCCTCATGTTCTGATTGTTGGCTCAGCATTGCTCCTGAATGGTGTTCTTGTCATATGAAGTGGGTTTTTTTCGAAAAAAAAAAAGTCTGTTTTTTATATTTCATTATGGATCTCTATGGAAAGAAGATATAAAATCGTTAACAACATTATATTCAGTTTTTTTTCGATAAAAAACATGGCCTAAATAAATTCTTAAACGAAAAAAATGAAGTGGGTTTTGTTATAATCTAGTTCATGTGTGTCCATTGTAAAAGTCTACAACCCTTCATTTTGTCGTTGATCGCATTAAATTTCGACGCTTTCCTTAATTAATAATGGTTCTCTATTGAACTTATATATATATATATATATATATATATATATATATATATATATATATATATATATATATATATATGTTCAGGTTCATTTGAGACCATGCTAATTTTGTGAGACCGTGAGACCAAATCTAAAAATAATTTTAAAATGCAAAATAAAATGAAAATTTCAAAATTTCTTTTTTTAATTATTATTTTCGGAACTTTAATTACCTAAAAAATAAAAAAAATAAAAATTATTGTTTTTTGTTTTAAAAAATACGTAAAATATTCTAATAGAATATTACACTGTAAATATTCTAATGTGATTTTTAGAATGTTAGAATATTATACTAGATTTCTCAGATATATAGAATATTCTATTTATTCTACTATAATATGTAAAAAAAAAAAAAAAAAAAAAAAGAATTTTTTTATTTTTTTGGTATTTTTTTATTTTTTATTTTTTGGAAAAGACAAATTCCGAAAATAATTTTTGAAAAAAAAATTGAAAATTTTCAATTATTTTGCATTTTAAAAATGTTTTTTATTTTATCTACCAAATGAATGGCTAGGATTGCGTCTCACGGTCTTACAAAATTAAGCCAAGGAACCAAATTTTATTTTTCAAGTTCTAAAGTTTATTCTTTATCGAAAAAAACTAAAAATATTTAAATTCATAACTTAACATTGTGAATGTCAAATATATTTTTTTTGATTCACCGTGTGAATTTAGATTCACATTGTGAATTTTCAAAGATTCACATTGTGAATTTGACGTGAAAAAAATTATCGAATTTGATATCATTGGAAAAATGATAAAATTTTATGAATTTTTGTATTTTTAGTTTTTTTTTTTTTTTTTTGATAAAAAGTAAGTTCTAAAAATTGGAAAAAAAATGATTAATTTGGTTAATTATGGTTCTCTATCACCCTATATATATATACACACGAAAACATAAATATCTTGCGAAAACATATTTATCTTATAAAAATCAAACACATGTACTATAAAAAATAAATTTATTAGCATTAATTAAAGATAATAAGTTTACTTTTGATCGTGTTATGATAATATAGATTTAAAAACGTTTTTAACAATTACTTTTTTTTCACGTCCTTAACCATTTTTAAGTTCACGTTTTCATAATAAAAATATCAAAAATCATACTTTGCTAATATGAAACAATTTCTCATCTATTATCGATTATTATAATCTATTTTAAAGTTTGGATGAATTATTGTCCAAAATATAATGTTGAGGTGGTACAATCTAATAGGTTTTTCTTGTTTTCGCGTTTTCACATATTATTTGCATTTTCGTGTGTGTGTGTGTGTGTGTGTGTATATATATATATATATATATATATATATATATATATATATATATATATATATATATATATATATATATATATATATATATATATAATCCAATAATCTTGAACTTTTTTTAATAGGAAGCACAATAAAACGATCGTTAGGAAATACACTTTGGAAATAGAAAAGAAGGATTGTGGACAAAAATTATAATTTAGTCTTTACTGAATAAGAAGGCTTCTTAGTTCTTATAATGGTTGTTTTCATTCGCTTTAAGAGTCTCGTATCATTGTCTAACATGAAGGTGGAGAGAGTAGTGATTATAAAAAGAAAATTTGTAGCTCTTTTATATAGAAGTACCATCTTTGAGGTGGGTCAAGTGTTGTTGCTGCATGGAATGGCTTTGTTTATAGTTTCTACTTTTTAGTATAAAATATTCTAGTATTTTTTTTTTTTTTCATAAAAGCCGTATAATCAAACTGGTTTAAACCTAACCACCCAGTTTTTCTAATTAACCGAATCGGCTTATCCCGATTAAACTAGTTCAACTGTCTGGTTCACTATGGTTTTCAAAACATGCTATCTTTAACTCCTTAACCATCACACATAATTCGATTCAGATAAAACAACCATATGGGAATAACGTCAAAACACAACGTGTTTGCAGTAGTAAAAATATTCAATGCCAAAATTTTCATAGCATTTGTACATGATAAACTTATAAAAAATTAAAAAAAAGACCAAGTACAACATACTCTCGAGGTATTCCCAACTATCTCTTCATCTTAATAACTAAAAATCCTCCAAAATCAACACTAAAAAGACATCAAATACTTTAACTGAAAAAAAAAACACATCTCAAGTATACACATGATTTTGTCCCTTAAATAAACTAAACAAAAACATTTCCAGTACCTGGTTGTATGAGGTGCCATTTTCTCTCCAAACCTGCAACATGATTTTGTAATTTTGATCAAATCTTGTCATTTAAGTTATACGCACGAGATGATTTCTATTCCTGTGTTGTTTATATTGCTAGATTCTTTATTCCCTTTTCTACTTTTCCATTTGATGGAAGGAATTGAATCGATCCATTTTCGGCATGTGAATGTTTGGAATCGCTGTTTCCAGTGAGAGTAGAGCAATGGCGACCTTCGAAGTAGGTCGAGTACGGAAAGTACTCTGCACATCGGATTTTCCATCCTACAAAACAGAAAAGTTATATTCCATAATGGTATTTGATAGAATGGAATGGAATAAACAAAGTAATGGAATGAGTAAATTACATTCCATGATCATGTTTTAAAAAAAAAAAAACACCAAATTAAAAGTAACAAAATTGATGGAATCACATTCCCTGAAGCATTAAAAACTTACTCGATGCAGCATCATGATCATTGAAAATAGCCCCCAATGTTTTGTGAACTGCAATACAGTCTTTAAGCTTCCATTCTCTAACAGATCCATTACTGATTATCAAACACAGCATATTTTTTAGTATATATAAAAAATATATATATATATATATGTGATGCATTTTATTAGTCAGATTTACCTAGACACAAGGTTATTGGGTGAATCTTGTATTAATTTAATCGCATCTCCTTTCTTGTTTGGTTCTAAACAGTAAATCATCTCAGCAACTGCTGATCTGTGCATCAAGGAATCTACATAATAACATCAAGAATATAATTAATATTTCTTGTATTTATCCGTTTAATGGAGAAGTAAGAAATAACCTTTATGTTGTTCGAGGAAAATAGTATTTGCCTCCATCAGAGATTTGTCATGCAACTGACTACAAAAGAGAAAACCCAGAATTTGTTTCACAATACATAAAAAATAATAAAATAATAAAAAAAGATTAATGTTGTAAAAGGTAATCAAATAATCAATTTTAACAACCTGAAAGTAGGTCGCTCTGCTTCTAGGACACCGGAAATCAGTTTTTCACCATCAGTGACAGGAGCTGGCCTTGATGCCACTTTATGGAAGAATCTTATCTGTAAAAAGAATGAAATATGATTTTTTATTAAAAAAAAATATATAAAAAATAAAGCTATCAGAGTAATTAATTTGCTTGTTGGGATACCAAGCATCGGTGGGAGTCCGGGTTTCCAGCATCTAATCGTTGTAGTTGCTTCAGGGCCTGATGAAACACAAAAGTTAGTTAAGTTATTATCCAAATCAAATCAAAGAAACTAGTTCTTTTTTTTTTTATTTCCCTCCAATTTTTTATTTGAAATAAAATTACCTGTAACGCAAGCAAGATCTTTTGTTTTCTCATATTTACTTCAAAAGAAAGCAAATGTGTCTCCAAGGAATCAGATGAATGTTTTTGAAGCAGCTTTAGATACTTTCCAGCTTCCATTAATGGATCTTCAGTCTAACATTTACAAAAGATTACAAGAGTAATTCCATCAAGCAATATTGGGGGGGGGGGGGGTACCTGTAATAGCTTCTCTCCATGTGGATCTGGATCAACTGGCTTGACATTTCGTTTCCCAGACTTGGAAACACCACCCACTGCTTCCTCACTTTTCACTTCTGCCTCCTTAAGAAAACATAAAACAAAAAAAAATTATTAAACAAAAAAAAAAAAAACAATTGTTGTATCCATAAAATGTAAAGAATGAATACTTTCTTAGCTCGTGCTTCAGCCTTCCTCTGTTTTTGCCTCAGTTTCTTTTTCTGAGAAGCAGGTAGTTTTGCCAGCTCATCGTCTTCTTCAGTAGATGACTTTGAAGGAGAATCATACAGCTTAATATAACATCTGCATCAAACAATACCAAAAAAAAAAAAAAAAACAAATTTCAAAAGGTATATTATAGAGTATAAATAAATGAGAAATTTTACAAACGTAACTGAATCATCAGCATTACCTTATAGCTCCAACTGCTGCCTTCCTAAAGTAATTATGTGCATGAAGTCGATCTTGAAACCTTAACATTTCAATATATGCACGCAGAGTCATTTTTCTTAAACAATAAGAATGAAAATCAAATTGATCTTCTGTAATATCTGCATAATGTTTCTCTACACCCAAGAATTTTTTCAAAGCACGTCCAAGATCACCCTGCCTCAAATAACTTTCTCCAGAAGCAAGTTCATACCTAAAAAATTTTAAAATTAAAAAAATATGTATACTTGTTCTCAAACTTATTTGTAATAAAGAAAAACTAACCACATGCACTGCATATCATGAAGGTTATTGTGCTGATCTCCATCTTTTGTGAACAATACAGCTGTCTTTTCAGCAAGTGGAACCTATAATAAAAAATATGAAACAACATAAATTAATAAATAAAAAATTAAACAGAAACATGATAAGTGAAAATATATATATATATATATATTTTATTTAGAGGTGTTGACCTGATCAGCTTGTAACATTCGTTTGACACATTGACTATTTACATAACGATCTGCAAGATCCATGCATCTAGCTTCATCTGCTAAAGCAGCAGCTGCTGTGAAGTCTCCACCATGTTTTAATATCTTGCTCTGTGAACAATTAGATATCTCATTGTTACTTTTTATAAAGAAATGTAAGAGAAGTTTTTTTTTTTTTTTTTTAAAAACAGACCTTGACAGAGTATAAATCGATAACAGTTGGAGTGTGTTGCATGGCTTCATCGATTTTAGTAAGAGCAATATGATACAGACCTCGCCTGTCATAATGCTACACAAGGAAAACTTTATAGTTGATAAAAATGAGAAAAAGGAAATTTTATAAAATCAAGTGAAGATAAACCTGAGCCAAATAAAACATGGTCCACATAAGTGTTGAGGGTGGCTCTTTTTCTGACCTGTATTAGAGTTACTTTAACACATTAATTTTACAAAAATAAAAAAATGGAAGTTAATTTAAAAATCTGAAAAGGGATTAAATACATAATCCACAAATTAGTAAATTACCTTCCGGGGTATCCACCAGTTTTCTTAATTGATTCCTCGATATCAAGGAGTAATTTTTCAAGAATATCAGCCTATAAAAAAAGGGTAAAGATTTTCCATAGTAAAAGAAGAAATCAAGAAAATTCACAGTTTTTTTAATTTTGTGAAAGTGGTAGCTTTCTCAAACCTTTCCAGGATGATTATATAGAGGAGAAAGGTCAGAGAACAATGAAGGGACACCCTGCATGTGACATTAACAAAAGTAAGAGTTTGTAACAAAAAGGAAAAAAAACACACACACACAAAACTTTATGTACCTTTGTTAGGAGAGGCCTAACATAGTTATCAGCTGCATCACGAAATTTTACACCCTCAAGAAAATCTAAGGGGATCCTCTAAGAACAAAATGTTGTAATTTAGATAAGAGGAAATTTTTTAATTTAAGTCAAAATGTGGTGTAATTTATATCACCTTAACAGCAGAAGACCAGGTGTATTGTTGAGCAAGTGATTTGTACAATGTATCCAACTGATCAATTTCTTCAGATGAATATTGACCAATCTTTGAGTGTAATCCAGCACACTTTTGCAATCCTTCATAGTATCTAAGTGATAAAAGAGGCCACTTAATATTCTTTTTTTTTTCTAAATTGAAGCTCATAAAAGCTAAAAAAAGATTTACTTGTAGTTGTCAGGATTCATTGATAGGAGAACTCTATACAACTTTTCACCTTCTTCAAAGCGATTAAGCTTCACAAGAAGAGAAACCTCCTCTTCCTTGTAGGATAACTTATCAACCTAGTATGGCATTTGCAGAAGGTGACAAAAGATAATTAATCCAATTTTTTCTCTTATATATACCATTTTGAAACTAATAAGCAATGAACTCACAATCTTGAATTCTTTCTTGTGCAACTCCTGAAGAGCTTTCTCAATCAATCCACATTCCTCCAATAAAGATATCTGTATGACAACAAAGGCACATAAAAATGTATTCTTTCAAGTTTCAATAGCTTACTCTATTACAGATATTAGTCATATTACCTTATATAACAGCATTTCACCATGCTCACAACGTTCATTATCTGGAGGATAATCATCCTCAAGAGTCCCTTCATATGCTTCTAGAATATCAATAGCTTTGGAAGCACTGGCAAAACAACATAAAGGTTAACAAAATGTTCTGGAAGGTGAAGAAAATAGAAACATTTGAATAGTAGTTTTTGAGTATAAAAGTATATCACAACTTACTTTGAGTTCAAATGATGAGAAACTGCAAAACCAATCCAATTCATGCGATGATTTGGTTTCAAAGTCAACAATTGTTGTCTGGTTTCAACAAAACCTGACAAATCCCGCATTTGTGCCTGCATGTAGAGGACAAAAAACACCATAAACCACCCAAAAGAAGATAAAATATGAGATATATAACACAAGAATGCCCACCTGTAGAAGTGATAGGTCCCTCAAGATTTCAATATTGTCAGGATCTATCCTCAGAGCATTTCTGTAACATTTAATTGCCTCCCTATACTCTCTGTCTGACCGATACAGAAGACCATAAACATGCCAGCAAACATGGCTTTTCAAGTCATTCTACAATGGAACAAGTGATGCTAAAGTTCATATTAGATTTATACAGACCAAAAAGAAAGAAAACATTTTACATTTAATGTGAAATATGATGAAAAGAAACAATTCCGACCTTTAAACCCAATCGAACTAGCTCATATGCTTCTGACTTTCGGTCCATACAATTCAATGTTAATCCTTTCATCGAAAGAGTTTCTAGAAACCAAAATGGAAGAATAGTAAAAACTAAAAATCAAGGGTACAATTTAGTGTAACAGTAGAATACTAGATAATAACTTATAACATAAACAAACCTCCATGATCTGGGAACTTCTTCAATATAGCATCTGCAGCCTTCAGCCCCTTTTTATACTGTTTTGTTTCATAAGATTTCTGGCAAACATACAATCAAGAGAGAATGTCTCAATCAATATCAAACCACTTAACACAGTCAGACAATGATGCTGGTAATATTAAGAAGTTGGCAGCACTGTTGCAACTAAAATATTATATTATGCAGCACTGGTAAGGTTCACTGCTGAACAGTGAACACCAAGAATTTGGTTTGAATGGCTATTACACAAATGTGCAGAACAATTTTGACTTTGTCTCAGTCATCCATACTAGGGTAAAGAAAATGTTCTTTGATGCAAATCCAGTTAAATAAATCGCTACAGTGTCCTATATAATGTTGCATGGAACATCAATCTTAAGTTTTTATCCATCAGAAAGAAGTACCAATTCAAAGTTCATTCAATGTGATGCATCAAATGCATGAATAGTAAAAAAAAAAAGGAACTTGCTGCCAGTTGGTACTACATAAAAGTCGTATCTTTACTCTAATTCATAACGAACAAAATACACTTCATAATTACAATTGACGATCCAATTTCATCTACACGTAACAGTCAACGAGATAGTTGTGGACAACCAAAAAAACTAGGGTTCTTCAGATAGACTGGCAGAAGAAATAACAGATTAATACAGTGATTAAATCAATACAGATTGAAGAACTTACGACGATTAGCTTGAACAGGTTGGCCTCCTTGGGAGGTAGCGAAGCGCCCATTGTGTCTTGCAGATTAGACACTTCTTGAGATAGAAAGTAGATGTATAAATACACAAAGACACAGAGGTTCGGTAGCTTAGTCAAGGTCTTTAGGTCACTGGAGAGAGAGAGAGAGAGAGAGAGAGAGAGAGAAGTGAGTGGTGGCGTTTATCTGCTGCAACCCTACTCAGAAAAGAGAGAACGAGGAAGCGAAGGCCAAAAGCTTTTTTTAGTGTTGGAAGATTACGAGGGGTGTGTTTGTAATTCTTTGATTCTTGAGACTAAGCTAAAATGTTTCCAGATTTAGCCACCAAACAAATAAATTTCGAAATTTAACCACTCAAATTGTAACCAACTCTAGGTTTCCGTTATCCCCGTCAAATTAGTCTTCTCTTTTTTAAAAGGGAACTGATTCGTACACAACACTTTTTTTCCATCCACAACAATTTGTGCTTTAAAGTGTTGTATTGTACAACTCTATAATGCATAAATTGTTGTGTATGATAAAAAACTATTGTGTACGAATCACTTTCCTTTTTAAAAGGTAGTATGTTCTGATAGAAATAACGACTCATATCTTATCTATGTAAACACATTATAATCAATTTACTTTCAAAACTAGTAGTAATTTAGTACGCTTGAATGTAGGTTAAACAAAAAATGATGTATAATGAATAAACTACTTCAAAACTTCATTCAATATGATATCCATCACAAAGTTTAGAGTTTTATTTGGCATTTATTATTAAATTTAAAGTTTTATTCAACACAAATCATAAAATTCAAAAAAAAAATAAATAATGATCACAAAAATTCATTTTTATCTATTATACATCACAAAGTTCAAAGCTTTATTTGATATTGATCTGGTTCAATATCATTCAAAAATCAAAACATATTGGATAAACATCACAAAATTTAATGCCCTGTTCTTATAATATCCTTTATTAAGTTGAAAAGTTTTATTAGATAAACATCACAAAGTTTAAAATGTTGATATTCTTACCTCAAATACAATCTTATTTTCTTTTTTTTTTAAATAACAGTATAATAGTATTCCTTTACCATGTAATTTATTAGTTATCTCTTCGAAACACATTTTTAAGGTAATTATCAAATGGAACAAGTTGAGACAAAAGATCATATTCTCATACTTCCGAGTTCCATAATCATGTCATTAACACCATTTACACCGCTATGAGTTTATTCTCATACTTCCGAGTTCCATAATCATGTCATTAATACCATTTACACCACTATGAGTTGCATCATTTTATGTGCTTACAATATACTCAGCTACAAGATCCACACATCAAATTTTTAGCTAAAGATTAAACATAGAGCAAAGCTTTTAGTCTCAATTAGTTAAATTCGTGTTGTTCCTCAGTTAATGCTTGCAATTTCTAGTTGTGCTTTCGTATAGCAGCATGCTATTCATTTTTTTGCTTATTATAAAAAGCTTTGTGCTCTAAAAAAATAAGACAAAGCAATTAGCGGCGTTAAAAGGATACACATCATTTTAGCTGTTAAAAAAAGGATACACATCATAACAAGTTCGATATATCTGATGGACAAGAATTTGAGAAAAAATAAAAAACAAGAAACTTTTGGAAGTGAATTTTACAATATAACAAATTCCTTTGCTTCAAATAAAAAATTAGAGACTTTTGGAAGTGATTTTTTTAGTCGTAAAAGGATCCTTTACTTTAGATTTTTCTCATTTTTCAACAAAAAAAAAATCAAAAATCTCTTTTTCTTGATAAGAAACTTATTTTCGCAGACAGTAACGGTTCGTTAAATCACCGCCACAACAAAAAAAAAAAAAAATCATTAATTTTCATAATAATATGAAAAATTCCATAAGATATGAAGAACAATTTCACAACATAAGAAGAAATATCACAGTTATATAAAATTTCTTTTTAGTTTTTTAATATTATTTTTGGTGAGAACCATACAAAAAGCAAATTTCACAGCAGATAGCGATTTCACAATAAGCCCATTGCAAAATTATTGGCTATATGTGGAAAAAGCCATAAAATGGCTACAATTATCATAATATTGTAATCCTTAATAAACAAACCTAAAGCTAAATTCCAAAAGAAATGGGGGCCATTTGTAATAAAATAAAATAAAAAATAAATAAAGATCAGGCATTCGGAACCAAAAACAAAAACTTCATAAAGATCATACAAAGCAAAAGTCCACAAAACCATGAAAAGAGTAGACATGAGAGTTTTTTAAGATCTATGAGCAAAGTGGTCATCATTTACAATGTTATCAAATGCCTCCGTTACTTCATCTTCCGTCATCTCAATGGTATCATCACTATCATAAGCAGCAGCATCACTTTTTGGATTTTCCGTTTTTACCCCTTTCTCAATCTTGGGTCGTTTATTCTTATTATCTTTTGTGTCATGTTCCAAATTTCCAACCTCAAATTCATAAATTTTTTTACAGACAATCGCTTGGTGATAGATGTCTTTTTTAGAATTATCTCCAGATATGTCCAGCTTGTTTAGCTCCTCAATGACACGTGGCACAAAACTCCACTCCTCCATTATCTTTCCCAAACCCTATAAACAAAATAGAAGTGGATTGAATAACAATAGATGAGCATCAATTTACTAGCAAACTTTATTGAGAAAAAATTACATACCTGCCCCTGCTTAAGAGAATCTAAAGCATCCTGTAAACATGTCAAGATTCCTTCAGCTGCTACTTTCTTTATCTCGCTTGGATCAGGCTGTGTAATATGAAAGAAGGTCAATTTAGTCATTTACCATAAACTCAGTCTCCTTGGAGCACAACTTAGAAATCAAATACCAAAATATGTGTTTACCTTTTCATCTTGGCTTTCCAACCATGATATTGTCCTTTTCACATCATCTATTGCCCATTTCTTCACTTCAGAAGTTGAAAACTCATTTTTAACATTCTTGTGAGCTGTTTGTTTCTGATTATCAAATAATAAAGTGTCATTGCAACTAATACTTAATCATCCAACATTTATATGCACATTGAAGAATAACTAAATAAACCTTGCTCAATGTAGAAGCCTGTGGTTTTGAATCTGTAGACTTATCTACTTTCTTAGAAGAGATGTTTGTTGAACTAGAGCTACTTTGATGCCTCCAAGGTTTACCAGCATGCAAAAGGTAAGGTTCAATGCCAACAAGCTTTTTCTGGTTGTAACACTCGGTTATCCATTCCTAAAATAAAGTTATCAAATTCAAAAGATGTTCATACCTCTAACAAGTAACAATAATAAAAGAAGATATAAAGTTAAAACCTTGGATATAATGGTTCCATTATCAGCTTCAACTTGTCTAAACTTTGGGGTGTTAGGAAATGCACAAACTAAAAGGGTGCAATTGTTGTTCCAATCAGCTTCATACTTTGCCCCCATTTCCAATGCTTGAGACCTTAATGTGCTGCGTTCAGGGTTAACAAACCCTGAGAGCACAAATACAACCCCTTCCTAAAAGAATCAAAGTTATTGTCAAGATATTTAGCAGAAGAAAAAAGTGAAGTGGAGCAGTGTAGATCATCTCTTACCAGGAGTTTGGAGGATTTACTAGAGCCTAAACTTGATTCAGAAGATGTTGTGGCTTGGTTGGCATGTGGTTTACCTTGTCGTTTACATTTATCATCATCAGATGGTTCCTTACTCTCAGATTTTTTATCGGTGTCCCTTGAGCTCATCCATGAAGGGAGATTCCGCCCTGTGGGCTTACCACTTCCAGAATCAGACATGTCAAGACACCTACTTGCACCAACTTCGTGACCTAATCATGTAGGAAGACGTCAGAATTCTAGCTTATGCATATTCCTAAATATGAATATCCGACTGTTTGGGTATCGAATGTGCCTAAATATGAAGAGTTTACACTCATGTACACCGAAATTGAACAATTACAAACAGAATACAAGGTGAAGATAGATACGTGCTTGAAACTGTAATTAAATGAGGAACAAGCGCTGAATAATTTATCAAAACCTTGAGCAAACCAACAAATTGAGACGACTGTGTTTTTGCCAATAATTTGTGCTCGAACCGGTAGTGAATGACCAATCAATGGCGTTCCTCGGTCGTTGAGTCCCTGAGAATTACAGGAAATTGCGTACTTCACCGATCAACTCCTCTGGTAACGGCCAGTGATACCAATACTTCACCGATCGGTGGCTTTTTGCTCCTCCAGCCTCGAAACTACCTAAGACGTGGGTTAGTGATCCGGACCCGTCCATTTTCAAATGGGCCATTTGTTTTGTGTTAATTTAGTAAATTTAAAAAAAAAAAAAAAAAAAAAAAAACAAAACAAAACAAAAAAAAAGTATTATGTTTTGAGAAAAATGTGAATTTAATATATATTTTTTTATTTTTTTTTTATGATTTAGTCACTGAAATATACTATATATAAATTACATTGAAATTATGAATAGTATTCTTTATATATTTCAGAAATATTATATATTATTTAAAAACTAGAACATAAGTATGGGCTTCACCCTAAAATAGGTTTTTTTTATATTATGGTATAACATATTTTACAAAAATTATCAGAAAAAACTTATGTTGTACGCTTATGATAGGAATAAATGAAAGACTTGTGATATATGTTTCGTTCCCCATTGTCAATCCACCATTTCCCTATCCAAAAAAAAATCAAAATTATATGGAACAAAAATGACACATTCATAATGAGTGGAAAGAGTTGTGATATTTGTCTCCAAACGAAATTGCCTTAGCAATGTCATCTAATGATGTTAGTTGGTTTTCAATGAACCATACATCTTCTAAACTCAAATTAAATCACAAACAAATCAAATAATGACAAAATGTTCATGTCTTTCAAGTTTCTATTACAACATTCTACCTTTTTCTACTGGGACATTGTAAACTATTTTTGACATTTTAGACCATTACTAAGACATCCGTTCAAGCAATAAGTTTCAGCTTGTGTATCTTGCCAGCTGGCCGAAACCCAGGGTGATTATAACATCCATAAAAATTTACAAAAAAAATTAAACTTTTCAAAATCAACCCAAGTTCATAATTTGTTTGCGAAATCATCCAAAAGCATTAATGTTTACAAACTTGTTTTCAAAATAAATCAATACCAGAGTTTTCCCAGAAACCACAATCATAAAACGAGGAAGTGTACGATCACGCCTTCGCCTTTTCGCGGTCATCCGAGGTACCTGAAACAAATCCAAAACTGTAAGCCCGAAGCTTAGTGAGTT